TCGACTACCTGACGCTAGTGCACGCGACTAAGGCGCCTTTTTTGTAACTGGAGGGGTCCGGTTTCACAGGCGCTTTCTTTGGACTGGAGCTTAGGAGGTCTGGTTTATTGAGGCGCCCCGTCGAAGAGGGGGGCCCGGAATATTAGATCGCTTTTGAAGGGGGGGTCCAGTTTTAGGGGGGGGGGCCGATTAAGAAGGGATTTGGAGAACCCAGACACTTTCGACGGTCCGCGCAGAGTTATTGGATCTGCGCTGTGGCCTCCCTGGCGGCGCCTCTGGCGCCCCCCCCTGGCGGGCTCCGCCCGCCAGGGAGGGGTGTCCAGCGCAAGCACAAGAAATTCGCTCGGAGCGCCAAAAGTTTACGTGTATGCCGTTGTTTCTTCTTCTAGTCTCGTCTGCTTTACCCCCCTCGACAGCTACCAGACGGACAAACAGTCCATCATCGTGTGAAGACGGGATTCCGAGGACACATATACAAGGCCACCATGATTTGCTACCGACGAGCCTGGTGTAGGGGACGAATACCGGGGTCCGCTCGCCCGGCTCTGGCGGGGCAGACGCGGACCGCTGCAAGCTCTGCCGGCCGTCCTGGGGCGACGAGGTCTACACACCGCCACTGCCACTGGCCAGCGACCTGAGATCTCGCTCGCTCTCTCGCTCGCAAGTCGTACGCCGAAAAGCGCGTGGACAGATCTAGCATGCACAATACTGGGCAACGCCTCTCGCCCAAGCATTGCAATCCTGAACGCTTGCCAGTGCTTTAGCAGCGTGCTTTTGCACTTGCCCGGTCCATTCGTTTCTAGGGTGCTCTACACGCCTCACATACTGGCACGTGATTGGAGCAAGATTCCCAACGAAGAATATTTGACACTTCAGCACGTCGTTTTCGGGGCGCTGTTTTTTGTTAACACCAAGCGCTGTTCCGTCCCGCTCTGGGCCCCAGGGCCATGACGGAGCTATGTGGCTCCTTGGCGAGACAGGGTCTAGAGTTACGTCGGGCATGTCCCCTCCTACAGGCGGATCCTGGACGAGAAATCAAGCACAGTCAAGACATGATCCGAAATAGTCAACATGGGTCGAACAATCGTCCCCAGACTATGTCTGTAATATTTTGAACATGCCTCCTGCCCAGACCCCCGACGTAATGAATTTTTCATTACGTCGACCCCCAGAGGTCCTGACACTTTCCCCATGACCGGCTTTGCTTCCTGAGTCGTTTTTTGACGCTCCCGAGGCCCGGTGAGGGTCCCCCGAGGCCGAAAATTAGGAAAAACCTCCCGTCGTGATTTTTTCATTACTCGAGGGGGTATGGGTCTGTACTATTTGGAGCATGCCTCCTGTGGAGGGACAGGCCCGACTCGAGCCTGGAGCTCCAGCCATGGTACTTCGCCACGTGGCGCTTTTTTGCAGCGCATGCCGGCCGGGCCCAGGAGCGGTGTGCGCGCCCCCCCCGGCTTGGCCAGGGAAGCACACCTACTCGAAATCCCTTACCTCACTAGCCTCGAACGTATCCCTATCCTTACGATTGACACGCCAAAAGGCGATGACAATCTTCGGGATTCGCCCTAAGAAAAAAAGGGAATCCCTAAGATTGGCATCGTGATGAGGAGGTGCCCAGCATAGGGATAGGAATATGTTCCAGGCTGGTAATTATCCAATCGTCCCGCGGGTCCGGTGTTTCACGGCGCCCTTCTTGTAACCGGGGGGGGGGTCCGGTTTCTCTTAGGGCGCCTCCTGTGGACTGGAACCCTAAGTAAGGAACGAGGCCCCCTTTTCCCATCAGTGAAAGTTCGATCTCCCATCGAAAACCTGAGGCGAGCTGTGAAACAACCAAGGAACACGGAGCCCCTCCCCAACGAAAAGGGTTCCTTCTTCAGCACCCCGACTGTACTCGAAATCCCTTACCAATCGTCCCCCGGGTCCGCTGTTTCACGGCGCCTTTTTTGTCACTGGGGGGGTCCGGTTTCTCTCAGGGCGCTCCCTTATAGGGGGGTCCGGTTTACTCGAGGCGCCCCCGTCGAGAAGAGGGGGGGGCCCGGAATGTCAGGTCCCACTTGGAGGGGCGCCCGGCCGTTGAGGGGGAGGGGGCGATTCGTAGGGGATCTGGAGGAGCGCACGCCCCCCCTATAGGCGTGGCCAGGGAGGCATCTCTACACCGCTCCCCGGCCCAGGAGGAGCCTCTGGCCCGTGGCGAGGGGCGTGCACAGACCTCGTCGCCCCGTTCCCCCGTGCGGGGGGCGCCGGCCTCGGGGCCGGCGTGGTGGTGGAGCAGGTTGGCCACGGGCTGGTTCGAGAGGAGGTGGTCGGGCTTGGCCTTGGCGGCTCGGTTCGCCCTCCCAAGGCGGCGCCCTGGGCGTTTCTGTTATGGAGGCGTGAGGCGCTGTCTGCTCTGGGCCGTGGGCAGGCGGTGGACGCGAACAAAAAAAAACGCCACGCTATGGTTGAGCGTTTTCAGGGCTGCTTGTGTGTGGCGTCTGTTTGCGTTTGTGTTTTCTGTTGCTGCGTCTTCAGGCTGACAGCGCTAAAGCACCAGTCTGACCACGCTATACCCACGCATCATGTGTTTAGCGTTTTCAATTATTTTGTTGAGACCTGAAAACGCCGCAAAAAATGGTTTCCAAGACGCCGAGCCGAAAACGCTAAATCACGCCCTGAGCATAGGAAGGCGAACCAAGCCTTGCGGCCCATCTGGATCTCCTTGAAGTTGATCCGGTCCCCTCCCTGCAGGCCGGCAGCGCCGTCGACCTGCGCCTTCCGGTAGCCGACGCCGTCGTCCCTGCCCTCGCGACGGAAGACTACATCCCAGATCTTCGACCTCTCGAGCGGTGCCATCTTCATCTTGCCGCGGTACTCAATTTCTGTGGTGCACCGCTTCGTGTGCGCGGAGTCGAAGAACTTCGCCCTGCCGTATTTCTTGCCCGTGTCCGCCTCGATCAGGAAGTTGGCCTCGCGACCGGGGCCTGCGATACTGAGAGGCGCGCCAGCGGGATCTGGCTCGCGGATGATGTCGATGCGCTTCCGCGCGGTGGCAAGCCTGGCAGAGTCCGCGCGACCCTGCCTCGCGAAGCTCGAATGCCCCGCCGCATCGTCGTCGAACCGGCATCCTAGCATCACGTTGCGAGCCTCGGCGGAGTGGTCCTCTCGAAAGAGGACAAATCTGCATACACATAAACTTTCGGAAGTCCGCGCGGATTTCTTAATTTTTTCACCGCAAGGCAGCAGCGAACACAGGACGAAACAGTGCCATAAGCCAACGAACCGAAAATTGCTTTAAACGACGGGACCGCTAATGAAGCAGCGTCAAAGGAGGAGGAGGAGGAGGAGGAGGAGGAGGAGGAGGAGAGGGATAACATCTGCGCTGAACCCCCCCTTCCCTGGCACGCGGAGCGCGCCAGGGGGGGCGCAGGAGGCGCCGCCGGGGGGGGTCCCAGCGCCGATCAAAGACATCCGCGCGAAGTTCCGACGGCTCATGTCTATTTAATTAAATCTTATTCGATCCTCGTCGTTCAACACGACCGCGGAGGTGGAAGCGTTCATGCCCTGGTAGAAGCTTGGGTGCCGCTAGAAGTGCCACTGGCCCAAGGCGCCCCCAGGATTTCCAGGCAGGTCCCTCCAGAGAGCCCCTCGCGAGGCCCAGGGGGGCCCCAGGGGATCCGAGATGGAGCGAAGAGCTGGGCACAAGAAGAAACAACTGCATAAACATAAACTTCTGAGGGTCCGTGCGGATTTCTTGGATTTGCGCCGAAGTCCCCTCCCTGGCGCGCGGGGCGCGCCAGAGGGCGGCGCCAGAGGCGCCGCCAGGGCGCTCCAGCGCAGATCCAAAAAAAACGCGCCGAACGTCGGAAGGTTATGTTTCTACCGTTAGGTCGGGCATGTCCCCCTGCAGGCGGATAGGCGGATTTGGGATTCTGTTTTACTATTTTTGAACATTCCCCCTGTAGAGGGACAGGCCCGACTTAATTCTCCCGTTGTTTCCCTCTTCGACTGGGGGTGCCGTGGGCCAGGGGGTGCCTTTAGCAGCCCCCGAGAAGCGCCTGGTCGCCCTTTCCCTCGGCCTCCCCTCCGGCTCCTGCACCATCGCCTTGCTGCTCGGCCTCTGGTGCCAAGTCTGGTGGCCAGCGGCTCCGTCCCAGAGGCTACCTACAGGAGCGGAAACCGCTACACCAGAGAAAAACACCAAGCAGTGGATGGCTCGAAATGGCATTGATACTGGGAACCCGGGAACCCGAAACCCGCCGATCGAACCCAAGAACCCGGAACCGGGAACCCGGGAGCCCAGCCGGCCACCAACATCGGCAGGACACTGTCGCCAAAATTCCCAGTTTCCGCTAGGACACCTTCAGTGCAAGCACTGATTGGGGAATAAGGGATCCTGGGGCACACACACACACACACTTGTAAGTCAGCGGCGCAGAGGGTCCTCAGGCTCGACCAGCAGATGGGGAGCGCGAATTCAATCGAAAATGGTCGAAGGCACAGTGCGCAAACCGTACACACTGCCAAGTGCAGGAACGGCTGCAGTTCCAAGCGAAACGTGGGCACACACACACACACACGCACAATTTCAAACATACACATACATATACATATATATATATAACACCTGAGAACATCCAATCAATGGATGATTTGGAAATTACTCATGTTGACCTTGATATCCATTGTGAGATCGATAATGAGATCGATCATCGAATATATAGAGGACGATTGTAAGGTCGATCGTGAGACCGAGAGTGAAATCTATTCAATGAAATCGATAGGGAGATCGATCGCGAGACCGCTCGTGCGATCTCCAATGAGATCGTTTGTGACATCGATAATGAGATCGATTGTGAGATCGGTGGTGAGATCGATAGAGACATGGGAAATGAGATCGATGGTCAAACCGATCGATCAGAAGACCGACCAAGAACCCGGGAACCCAGGAACCTCGCCGCCCACCGAGATCGGCCCGGAACCCGGAACCAGGACCCCCGGAACCCAGCCTGCCACCAAAATTGGCAGAAAACTTTCGCCAAATCCTTCAACCTCCGCGAGGACCCCTTCAGTGCAAGCACTGATTGGGGAATATCTATATATATATAGATATATGCATAACACCAGAAAACAAAACCCAATCAGTCGATGGTCATGAAACACCAGAGCAAAACCAATCTCACAATCGATCTCAATTCCTCAATCAGTGCTTGCACTGAAGGGGTGGCAGCGGAAATTGTAGGATTTGGCAAAAATGTCCCGCCGATGTTGGTCGCACGCTGGGTTCCCGGATTCCCGGTTCGGGTTCCTGGGGGGCCGACTTCGGTGTGCGGCGGGATTCCCCCGTTCCCGTTTTCCTGGTCGATGTTCTTATCGATCGGTCACACCATCGATCTCATTACCCACCGCGCTATCGATCTTATGATTGATCTCACAATCGATCTCACAATGGATCTCACTATAGATCGCACGAGCGATCTCACGGTCGATCTCTCTATCGATCTCATTGAATCGACTTCACTACCGGTCTCACGATCGACTATACAATCGTCACCACTATCAACTCCACTATCGATCTCACAATGGATCTCAACAACTATTTTAGTGATGTGGATATTGAGATCGATTGTGATATTGCTTTTGCTCTGGTGTTTCAGGACCATCCACTGATGTAGTATCCAGATCACTGACATGGAGATTGAGATCGAATGTGAGATCGACAAAGGAATCGATAGTGAGGACGATGGTATAGTCGATCGTGAGACCGATAGTGAACCCGATTCAATGAGATCGATAATGAGATCGATCGGGGGATCGCGATCAAACATAAGATCGATAGCGCGGTGGGTAATGAGATCGATGGTGTGACCGATCGGTAAGAAGATCGACCAGGAAAACGGGAACCCAGGAACCCCGCCGCCCACCGAAATCGGCCCTGAACCAATGACCAGGAACCCGGGAACCGGGAACCGGGCACCCCCGAACCCAGCGTGCGACCAACATCGGCGGGCAGTGGTCGCCAAATCCTCCAATTTCCGCTAGGACCCCTTCAGTGCAGGCACTGACTGGGCAATAGCCACACATTCGAGGATTCCCCATATGCTTACTCGTTTCCCATATCTAGGGCGCAAACAAACCTACCTCGCTTTTGACCACCCTCGCTTCCAAGAGATACCAAGCGACGCCAAACTACGGCCTGCGCTTGTCAGGCCGCTTGACGAGGAGGCGCTTGGTATGACTTGGTTCTGCCTGGAAGCGAAAGCGGGGTAGGTAATTCACGCTCTGAATACCACCCGATGATCGCATGCAAAAAAAAGGAGAAGGCATACGCATTGACTTCCCTTCAGTGCAGGCACCGACTGGGGAATAGCCACAAACTCGAGGATTCCCCATATGCTTACTCGTTTCACCTATCACCCGATGAGCGCATGCAAAAAAGGAGAAGGCATACAGTCGGGGCGTTGACCTAAGGAACCCTAAATAATGAACGAGGCCCCTTTTCTGCATAAGTTAAACTTCGATTTCCGATCGAAAACATAAGGAAAGCCTGAGGCAAGCTGCGAAAACACTTAAGGAACGCGGAGCCCCTCCCCAACGAAAAGGGTTCCTTCTTCAGGGCCCCGACTGTACGCATTGACTTCCCACGGCCCGCGCGGATTTCGGGGGACCTGCGCCGCCCCCCACCCCCCCCACTCTGGCAGGGCGGCGCTGGAGGCGCCCCCCCGGGGACTTCCGGGGAAGGCCGCGCGGGCCGTGGGACAATCATGCCTGCAGAGGCCTCCTAGTGGACGGTCTCCCCCGGGGCCGTAATTAGGCGACCCGAGGAGGAGGAGGAGGGGGAGGAGGAGGAGGAGGAGGAGGAGGAGGAGGAGCAGGAGAGGAGGAGGAGGAGGAGGAGGAGAGAGGAGGAGAGGGGGAGCGTGCGAGGAGGGGGCGAGGGGGAGAGAGGAGGAGGAAGGAGGAGGAGGAGGGAGGGAGGAGGAGGAGGAGGAGGAGGAGGAGGAGGAGGAGGAGGAGGAGGACAGGTCGCCTAAGCCCTTCGGAGAAATCCTACATCATGCATGTAGAGGCCTCCTAGATGGGATTCGAGTAGATGGGATCGGAGGATCGCGCCGCATCGCCGATGCATCAGTGATACATCGACGACGAATCAGCGATGCATCGGCGACGCCGGCGGTGCATCGGCGACGCCTGCGCGGAAATAATCTGGCTCCACATCGAGACGCATCGGCGTTGCATCGGTGATGCGGCGGGATCCTCCGACCCCATCTACTCGGACCTCACCTGAGAGGCCTAGAGCCTGTGAGCCCAGAAAAGAAAGACGTGCGCGCCAAGCCGCGTACATGAACACGGCCCCCCCGTCTGCGAGACCAGCCTCGCGACGCGCACGTTCCCGCAAACACACACTCTCGAAAACAACGTGGATTCATGTACGTGTACGTCCTTCTTTCGCCAGAGGCCTCCTAGATGGGATCCGCAAAGATGGGGTCCGAGGACCGCGCCGCATTGCCGATACATCGGCGATGCATCGACGATGCATCGACGACGTCGGCGACGCATCGGCGACGCCGTCGTGAACAAAATCGGGCTCCACATCGAGCCGCGATGCGGCGCGATCCTCCGACCCCCATCGACTCCGACCCCATATTGGAGACCTAGACCTAGATTCCCCAACCCCCGACGTCGTGATGTGTGCATAACATCGAACCCCAGAGGTCTCGACCCCGTCCCCGGCACCACCTTCTCATCCTGAGTCGTTGTTTGACGGTCCCGAGGCCCGGTGAGGGCCCCCAGGGGCCGAAAATGAGATCGATCGGGAGATCGCTCGTGCGATCTATAGTGGGATCGAACGTGAGATCGATAGTGAGATCGATCGAGAAGTCGGTAATGAGATCGATGGTGAGATCGATCAATCAGAAGATCGACCAGGAACCCGGCGACGGCCCCCAGGGGCCGAACATGGAGAAAAGGGCCTCCCAGTAATGAGATCGACGGTGAGACCGATCGATAAGAAGATCGACCAGGAACCCGGCGAGGGCCCCCAGGGGCCGAAAATGGAGAAGAAAAGACCTCCCGCCGCGACTTCTTCCTCACCTGCAGGGGGTGCGGGTTCGCTCCCGAGAGAGCCTCTCGCCCCCACGCTGCCCGCGCCGAGGCCGAGCTCGTCCACCGAGCGGGAGCGCCGAGACGACGAGGGCGCTCGCCCGCCTTTCGCGTCGGGCGAAAGGGGGGGATGGCAAAGGGGGGGGTTGAGGATCAGCTCACGCAGCTGATTTTCCCGGCGCCTCCCGGCGCCGGAGGCGGCCATGTCTCGAGGAATGGGCCCCTCGGCGAGGCCGAAACCAGCTGCATGCAGCAAATTCCCTGACCTTCCAGAGAGCTATGCTTTAGCACTGGAGACCTAAAAACCTAAAAAACCAAACGACACAGCCCAAAACCAGGACGTAGAATCGCTCTGGGATATAGATTTTCGGGTCGGGTGCTGTTTTTTAGCCCTCCTGGAAGGTCAGGGTTTCGTACCCCCCCCTTTCCCAATCCCCCCCCTTTCGTGCGGCCCGGGCCTTCGCTGGCCGGGCGCCCCCCCGGCGCCTCGACCTTCGGGGCCGGGCCCGGCGCGGGAGGCCCGCCGAGGGGCTCCTCCCGGGCGGCGGGAGGCAGGGCGATGACCTGGCGGAGGAGAAGCGAAGGACTGCAAAGGATTGCAAAAAACAACCCTTCGTTTGCAATCCAGGGCTTTTGTTTGCAATCCTTCGTCTGCAATCCTTCGTTTTTTTTGCAATCCTTGGTCTTGCCTTTTTGTTCGGGACTTCGCTAGGGGAGCAAAAAGTTGCATAAACAGAAGAACTCGGAGGTCCGCGCGCATTTCTCGGATCGGCGCTGGGGCCCCCCGGCGGCGCCTCCGGCGCCGCCCCTGGCGCGCTCCGCGCGCCGGGGAGGGGGGCCCCAGCGCCGATCCGAGAAATGCGCGCGGACCTCCGAGTTCTTCTGCTTCTGCCGCTTTTTGTCCCCCTAGTCCCACGCGCGCAAGCTCTGGGCGAGCTCCCGCACCACCGACAGAGGGGGCGTTGCTTGCCAAGACCCCCTCGAGGCAAGAGCAGAAACACGACGGGAGGCTGTTGGCTCTTCGGCCCCGGGGGCCCCTCGCTGGGCCTCGGGACCGTCAAAGAGGGACTCGGGGCGAGCCGGTCCCAGGGACTGGGTCGAGATCTCTGGGCGTCGGCGTCACGAGAAAATCATGACGTCGGGGATCAATGGGGGGGCGTTGCATTCCCTGAGATCCTCCATGGGGGGGCGTTCCATTCCCTGAGGTCCTGGCGTCCCAACGTTTTGGAGCCGAGCGCGTTCGTCCAGATTCGGGCCCCGAGTCCCTCAGCGATCGATCCTGCTCTAAACATGGCGCAGAAAGATGGTGTCTAGGGCTCCGGTCGTGAGTTTTCTGATGTTTCAATGTTTTGTCGAGACGTCGGATACCAGGGTTTGGGGAGTAGAAACGCTTATCTTTCGTTCCCCCATTTGGCCCCAGGGGCCCCACTTAGGGCTCCTTTCAAGGCGCAAAAGGTGTATCTTTCTTCACCCCCCCCATTCATCGCACCTCCATTACTCTTAGGTCGGGCATGTCCTCCTACAGGCGGAATTTTGAAGGAAAATCCCAAAGATAGTCAACACAGTACTCCAAAATGGTCAGAAATAATAGAAGAAAACTCGTCCCCCGACTTTTTGTTTGTACTATTTTTGGATACTCCTCCTGCAGAAGGACAGGCCCGACTTGACACTTCTCGACGCCCGACGCCACCGAGAACCCAAAGGCTCTGGCGCCATGATCTCTTCAGCCTGGGCGCCTTCCCTTGATCTCGGCCTCCCGGTGCCGATCTCGGGCCCCGGGGCCACCAAAAAAATGCCCAGGACGACAAACTGCCCCCGGGGAGGTGATCCCGACGAGAGACTCGACCCGATGCAGCTGTGAGCACCGCGCCTGTGAGTGTTGCCGCGTTCAGTGGAGCTCCCAGTTCGGCTACACGCAAGAGTGACCCTGGGTAAGAGTGACCTTGAGGTGCGCGGGGAGGCCAAATCCAGGTGCGCTAGCCGCTGCTACCTCTTCGCGTTCGGCCATCTGGGGGCCCATCTGTGCCCGCACCAAAGGTCACTCCGGCGAAAGGTCACTCTTACGTCTAGTCGACCAGTGGGGCCACGAGATGCGTGAGGGGTGGGAAATTGGCCTGGGGGCGCACGCGGCCCCTGGCACTGGGGCCTTCGTCGTTTGAGCTACCTATGGGGCCTCGGAGCGCGAGTTGTGTGCCAGACTGGGCCTCGGGGGCGCATGCAGCCGCTGCCATTGTGGCCACGACGCGTGTGAGTGGTGTGCCGGAATGGGCCTCGGGGGCGCATGCAGCCGCTGCCACTGGGGCCTTCCTCGGAGCTCCCTATTGGGTTGGGCCTCGAAGCGTGAGCGCTGTGTGCCGACATGTGCTGGGGGACACATGCGAGCTGCGCCTCTGGGCCTCAGTTTGAGCTCCCTATGGCTCTATGGGCCACGAACCGTGTGAGAGGTGAGCTGGGAGATCGCATGCGGTCCCCTCGCACCCTGGGGCCTCATTTGGAGCTCCCTGTGGGGCCACGAAGCGTACGAGGGGCCCCCCCTCGTGGGGCTACGACGCGTGTGAGGGGTGTGCCGAAATGGCAGGAGGACCGCATGTGGCCCCCCCCCCCCCGAGGCCTCAGTCGGAGCTGCCCGTGGGGCTACGAAACGTGTGAGGGGTGTGCCGAGATGGTCATGCGGAGGGCGGGCCCAGACCCCCGACGCCATGATTTTGTTCATGACGTCGACCCCCAGAGATCTGGACCCATTCCCCGGGACCGGTTTTTCGTCCCGAATCGGTTTTTGACGGTCCCGAGGGCCGGTTAGGGCCTCCAAAAGCAGAAAATTTGGAAAAGCCTCCCGTCATGTTTTTGTTCATTGCCCGAGGGGGTCTGGGGAGGCAGGGATTGGGAGGAAGGAGAGAAGACAGGTGGGAAGCAGGCGACGCGGGGCGCCGCCCCTCCCCGACGAGAGGGCCCATCACCACAGGACGGCTGGGACAACTCCGCGTCTCGGCGACCGCTGGGCGGTGGGGACGCCTGAGCGCCGTGCCGTGCACCTTGCCGTCGCTCGGACGTCCATTTCCCGTGCACTGTTCGACCTCGTGCGTGCTTTTTTGTGGCTCGATGGTCCAGGATGGTCCTCGATGGTCCTCGCCGAGACAAAAAAATGCACACGTCCGAGCGATGCCAAGGCATTGGCGATGCCTGGGCATGCCACCGCCCCAAGGGATGGGCCACCGCCGCTGGGCCCTCCGTGGCGGCGGCCCCCGCTTCACCCGCGGAGCCTTGCTGAAGGCGCCGGGCTCCTTCGGAGGGTCCAGGAGCTGCACACAGCTAGTATTAGGTCGGGCATGTCCCCCTACAGGAGGATCTTGGACGAAGAATCAAAAATACGCCCCAAAATCAACGAATATTCCAACAATCGTCCCCTGACTGTTTTTGCTATACTATTCTTGAGCATTCCTCCTGTAGATGGACGGGCTGGCCTTTAAAAGCTAAATGCGCAGACGTTCGGCGGCCCGCGCGGCGCTCGTGGGTCGGCGCGGGGCTCCCTCCTCCTCCTCCTCCTCCTCCTCCTCCTCCTCCTCCTCCTCCTCCTCCTCCTCCTCCTCCTCCTCCTCCCTCCTCCTCCTCCTCCTCCTCCTCCTCCTCCTCCTGCCTCCTCCGCCTCCTCCTCCTCCTCTCCTCCTCCTCCTCCTCCTCCTCCTCCTCCTCCTGCAACTCCTGCTCTCCTCTCCTCCCTGCTCCTCCTCCTCCTCCTCCTCCTCCTCCTCCTCCTCCTCGTCCTCCTCCTCCTCCCCCTCCTCCTCTCCCTGCCCGGGGGGTCGCGGGGGTCGCGGGCGCAGCGAGCCGAGAGGTCCGACGCGCGCGCAGCCCCTGCGGGGAGAGGCGCTCCCCGGCCAGAACTGCGAGGCGACTCCGGCGGTGGTGACGAGGGCTCGTGATGTGCCTGTTTCCCACCGCCACCACCATAAGTTGGAGGGGGAGGAGGAGGAGGAGGAGGAGGAGGAGGAGGAGGAGGAGGAGGAGGAGGAGGAGGAGAACCCCGACGTGCGGCAAGGATGCAAGGCCATGTCGACGCTCTGCGAGCGGGGCGCGGCCGGCGAAAGCAGCCAAGGGCCAAGGATGGGCTGAAAGGGAAGGGTGCAAGGGTAACCTTGGAGAGGTGCTCATCCATACCATGCGGGTCGACTGCACCTCCCCTGACCGGTGGCGACGAGGGCCGCCCAGGAGGCCAACAAAGGGGGAATCCAGGGACGGGCAGCGGTAGGGGACGATCCTTGAGCGCCTCCTTGAGCGCGGAGCGCGCCGTCGCCGTGCCGGACGAGCGGGCCGACAGGGCCCCAGTTGCGGATGAGCGCGCCGAGTGAGGCGCCGACCACCGCGCGGGCTGCCCTCCGTGCACCGCCACCTGAGCGACGAGAACAACGACTGGTCCCGCGCGAGACGATGATGGGCTCGTTTTCCACCACCACCACAACCACCACCACCACCATAAGTTGGAGGGGGAAGGAGGAGGAGGAGGAGGAGGAGGACGACGACGAAGAGGAGGAGGAGGAGGAGGAGGAGGAGGAGGAGGAGGAGAACCTCCTCCCCCTCCAACTTCTGGTGGTGGAGGCGGTGGAAAACAGGCCCATCAGACGACACAGCGACCTTACGCGGTGGCTGACGCGGGCCGCCAGCTCGGCACTGGGGAAACCAAAAGGTACCGGATACCGCTGCTCCCCGGACCTCTCCCAGGGTGCGTTCTGACCAGAATTTCCAGGCGAATCCAACGGTGGCGACGAGATCCTGCCAGGAGGGCGACAAACGGGAAAACAGGCCAGGAGGAGGAGGAGGAGGAGGAGGAGGAGGAGGAGGAAGAGGAGGAGGAGGAGGAGGAGGAGGAGGAGGAGGGGGAGGAGGAGGAGGAGGAGGAGGAGGAGGAGGAGGAGGAGGCGATGGGGGGTCGATGCGGACGTACCTGTTCCCCCTCTGAGGCACGCTGCGCTGGCAACGACAGGCGCCGCCGCGCGACCCCTGCGCGGGCAGCCGCTGCCTGCGCGCAAGGGCGCCGGTGAAGCCGCACCCCTGTTTTCTCCCTAGCCGCTCGCCTGCCCGCTGCTGGCGTGCGCCTGCGGAAACCAAGAGGCACCGATGCGGCTACCCAGACCCCCTCGAGTCCAGACCCCCCTCTGGAGGCCCTCACCGGGCCTCGGGAGCGTCAAAAAACGATTCAGGATGAAAAACCGATCCCGGGGAATGGGTCCAGATCTCTGGGGGTCGACGTCATGAAAAAATCATGACGTCGGGGGTCTGGGGAAACCAAAAGGCACCGATGCGGCTACGCCCCGGGCCTCTCTCGGGGTGCGTGCCGACCAGGAAATGGCGAGGCGAGCCCGGCGGCGGCCACGAGGGCCCCCTCGGAGGGGAAAGCGAGGGCAAGGCGGCGGCATCGGTACCATTCCTCCTCCGAGCGCCGGCGGGGTCCCCGGGACGCCGCGCGGGCCCGCGCCGCTGTGCGCGCTGCGCGCGGAGGACTGCGAGGCGGGCCCCCGCCACTCGCCCCGCTGCTCCCTCGCCGGGCGGCGCGCAGGAGCGGCCCCCCCAGGGCCAAAGGGGTGGCCCCTTCCCTGACCTTCCAGAGAGCTATTTTTTGACACTGGAGGCCTAAAAACCTAATAAACTAAACGAAACAGCCTAAAACCAAGACGTAGAATAGCTCTGGGATCGGTTTTTAGGTCGGGTGCTGTTTTTTAGCCCTCCTGGAAGGTCAGGGTTGGCGCACGCGGCAGTCGGGGGCCGCGGGGGTCCCAGCGTGCCAGATCCAGGCGCGCACACGCACTGGTGGGAGATCCCCGCGAGCCCGCACTGGAGGCATGTGCAGTGCGGGCGCGGCCGCCAGAAACCCTCGCAAGGAACCCAACCCTGAGAACCCGTGCGCGAGATGCACCCGAGGGGAAACCCGGAGCACCCCGAACGCGCCAGCTCCTTCAACGGCTGCGGGAAGTCACCGCGCAGCGCGAGGAGCGAAGAAATCCAGGATACCCTGGCGAAAATCACATGGTTTCTTGATGCGCGCCCCCACTGTACAGGACCGTCTGTGAAGGAAGCCAAAACGCCGTGTTGGAAGGGACGTGAAAAGCCAGTCTTCTTAAACTGCCAAGACAGATGTTGAATGTCTTCTCTTAGGGAAGCAGCAAACAACCTTGTGTTTCTGGTTTTTCGATAAACTGCAAATGTTGAGTTCGCTCGAAAACACGTACTCGTTCATTCAGAACGGGCTTTAACTGGGGAGACCAGAAAGTATCGATACGCTAATCCCCAGACTTCTCCCAGGGTGCGTCTTGACCAGGTTTTCGAGGAGAATCCAGCGGTGGCGACGAGGACCTCCCAGGAGGCCCAAACAAAAGAAAGCTTGGGAAGGGCAGCGGTATGGGTACCTTTTCCTCCTCTGATTAACATTGTGGATGCCACAACCATGGACACCCTAACAGTCCTATCATTGAGTTTCAAGTGTGTTTAACATGTAGGAAAATATAAACATGTCTTAAACGAATGTAAAACATGTTTTAGACATCTGGAAATTATTTGGCAACATGCTTCCTCTCCACGGATCGTCCTCCACAAAATTAACATTCATTCACGTCCGCTCCCAAGATGCTCGGTCGGCGACACGCAGGAGTGACCCTGGGTAAGTGTGACCTTTTAGTGCGCGGACTGAGGGGGCGCAAGGTGGCCAACTCCACGGGCGCAAGCAGCCACTATCGCATCGCGCTCAGCGGTCGGGGGGAACCCGGTGAGCCCGCACCAGAGGTCACTCCGGCGAAGGGTCACTCTTACGTGCAGTCGACTCGGGCAAAGAGGGGGGCCCTCTTGCGCGATTCGCCGGCCTCTGCCCCAGCCTCGGGCCCGCGCCAGTCGGCGCGCCGCGGGCGGACGCGGGCGCCCCCGGCCCGCCCCACC